ATTACTCCAATGTTACTACTGCTGAGTCAGCACTCAGTTCACCATCACTTGTACCAAAATGGTGGAAACAAGAAGGATTTCGGTCAACTGCAGTAGGTTCCAACTACTGAGCACATAGCTTTAAGATGCATCTTTTCTCTCATCGCCCTGTGGCTATATACTCTTGAGCTACAGAAAGGAAATGTAAACCCTCTAAGATTTGTCAATTATCCTGGTTCTAGTACTTAGGACAGAGATGGCAATCCACTGGTACTGTTAACATTTTAACTAACTTGGTTGAGTTTAACAGAAAGCTCCTAATACCAATCCTCAGGTAACTGTCACTAAGTTGTGGGTACCCAGCTGAACTTCTAGGATGACTCACAACGTAAAGACCACTGGCCACATATCCACATCATCTCTAGGGGGCCAGTACTAATTCCTGACTTTACCCTGGAAAAGGGGGGTTATTATAATTTTTTCACAACTCAGACACTTGGGAGATAGTGGATACTGGCCAGTTTTAGGTGAACATGAGACATCTGGGTATGGGAGAAATCTCTGATTTTGCACCACTTTTCACGAGATTCTTTTCATCCATGTGAGTTCAAATGATGGCCATCATAATAGAGTTTCACTGAGTCAGGCCCAAAACACCCCAAAGGCTGAACTTATGGGAACCAACTGCAAATAGCCAGGCCCGACAAAAACCCTCTTAGGGATGCAATCAAGCATCTTTTTCAAACAATGTGGGAGGTGGACAAGAAGCTTCCACAGAGCATCTTGGAATGTAGTCATGGGGAATGTGGTGACATCTTTTGAGGAACGGATTTAGTCAACCAGGGGTCATGAGGACCTCTGGGAACAAGAGTCACAGCGAAAATTCAAGTTCTCTCTTCAAAGGGCTTCATTTTGAGCTTCAGACCCCACCCCAGTAATTGCCATGATTAGCATAACCTTTGAATACAAAGAACAAGTATTCTTTTCTGACGTGTGATATAGACCATTATTTAAAAATGTATATATTTGGTTCTTTACAGTATTTGTGTGCCATTTTTAAGCTCCTATGAGCCCAGCTGGTGTGGCTGGGCATCAACCCATGAACCAGGAGGTCATGGTTCAATTCCCGGTCAGGCACATGCCTGGGTTGCAGGTTCGATCCCTAGTAGGGAGCGTGCAGGAGGCAGCTGATCAATGACTCTCTCATCATTGATGTTTCTATCCCTCCCTCTCCCATCCTCTCTTTGAAATCAATAAAAAAAAAA